CATCTGCGGTAGAATTAATTTCCAACGTTGGCAGCCCTGCACGAAATAGGACGTTTTTTTTCGGTGCAGAAATTTCGTGGAAAATGTAAGAAATTTTAAAAAAAAAATTTTTTTTAATAAACTCTTATAAACTATTGCACATTACGAAGTGTCTAAACTTTTAATTAAACGATGTAAAAAAAAACTCTAAACTTTATTTATGGAAAAACAATTTCTAACCTTGCCTCCAATCTATAAGTGCGGCAATTAAACATACTCAGCAAGAGTTTCGACATCTCTGCGCTTTTCCGCAGGGTGCGAAGCACCACCTGCTGTCTTTTAGTTTATCCCGGCAAGACTGACTTGGTCATCTCTCAATTACATTGGACATCAAGTGGCGGCGATTTAAGCGGTTATCTTATATCTTTTAAACATACAAAGTTTTTTCTCCGTCTCTGTCGGTTTCATGAGAACATGCTGTTCTTCCATATCCCTTTGATTCCCTTGGTACGTCAGTTGCTCTACTTTTTGCCTATAGTCTAGCACGAAATTTAAAAGTCGCCCGCCCCGCAAGAGGGTGAGGCTTACAAAAATGTTGTCTAACGGTGAGGATTTTGAAAGTTTTGCCAGAGTTCATTCAAAAGAAAAAGCTCCAACCAGTAAAAAAATCCTAAGAAAAAAAACATTGATAAGGATAGCTTATCCGAAGAAGATTTGCCTATGGAGATTAAAACCACTACCTCAATTTCACCGATCCCTCCTACTATAAATGAGTCAATTTGGGTCCCCACAAGGGTAGCGTGGAGCATACTAATCCTAAAAGGAAAAATCCCGGACCTAACAACTCAGAATTTTTATGATAGTGAAGTGAATGGAGAGTGCTGCGTTTTCCTCGAAGTCTGTAATAATGACACAGACAAACATATACGTCTCAGTTCAGACTTGTTTTTCTTTGAATACATTAAAGATCTAAAATTGGGTGGTCTAATTAGCATCAAAACCGTTAGCAATGGTAAAGCCAAACTATGCTTTGATAATGCAGTGGATGCCAATAATTTTATAAAAAATAATGCCTTTCGTTCGAAGGTTTGTAAAGTTTATATTCCTAGAAATTTTGCTGAAAAATTCGGGATAGTAAGAAATATTCCTTCTTCAATTAAGGAGGAAGAGTTTTTTAATTCCGCTATTTCTGAAATTGAAATGGTTTCCGTCACGAGACTTCATAGAAGGGAGCCCTCTAACAAAGAAATATTCATTCCTACAAATAGCGTGAAGATTGGTTTCAAGGGAAAATTGATCTAACAACATAAGAGATCCGACTCTAGAGTCAAACCACATTTTAGTGAAAAAAACTTTGATGCAATGAAAAAATGTTGAAAGGGTTTTGAAAATTCTTTCCACCACTACTTATGAAGAAAAACTAAAGACCATCCAAGCAGAAATTGTAACCCTTGAATTTAAAAGATGGCATCTCCTTCAAACAAATTCCCTTAAAAACAGCTGCTGATATTGTAAAAACTTCTGTTAAAACTATTGTTATAACTTCTTCTTTAAAACCATATTGCTGCTTGCTATATTAAACCTAATACTCGCAGTCAATCTTTCCGGAATGATATGAAACGCCTATGTGATATGCTCGACGGCTATTACAATGTCATTATTGCAAGAGATTTTAACGCAAGACACCCTTGCTTTGATGTCTCTTTGTCAAATAATAAAGGCAAAGCTTTGTGTGAAAGTATGGAATTCCGTAATTTGTACAGTCTTAATGATAATAGTCCGACCTACTTGCATTCTACCATACATATTGTATGTGGCAGTGTTTTAGATCTTACTTTCACTAATTAAGCGAATATTGTCTTTAAATGGGAAGTCAAAAAAGAAGTTTATCTTGGAAATAGCCATCATTTTCCTATATTCTTGAGCGCAAATTTCTTATCTTGCTTTAAGATAAATGATTTCATTTCGGGAAAAAAACTTTTAAATAATCTTATGCACATAAATCTTGAGCCTCATATTGAGTCCATCTAGAGATTATTTCAGCACGAAGTTAATAACGTCAAATCAAATATACAAATTTCAATTTCTGGTCACCAAAACCTTGGTGGAATGGATTGCTCACAACGTGCTCCCGCAAATTACAAGCAGCAAAACAAAAATTTGCTAAATAGCCTAATATTTCTAATTTTGATCAATTTAAGCAATCCCAAATAGAATGGAAAAAAACCGGTTAGAAAAGCCAAGAGAAGCCACCATGCTCTATTAATCGAAGAGCTTTGTTCAAATGGCAACACAAACCTTTTTGGAAATTTTTGAATGGACATCGCATTACAAAAATGAAATATAAACACCCCATTTGGAATGATGAGAATAATAATATATATACCTAGCTGAAAGCCCAAGTTCCCACCACAAATGCTCTCAAAATTCTCTCGCTTAACTCTCTGTACTTTTAAAAATTACAAACTAAATGATTAAAGAAAGACTCACTAAATTTCTGCACAACTCACAACTGCTTCCGTCCAGGTCTTATGCTTACCACATTTCCAACAGTATTTGTCTAAATGAGGTTCTTTTCACCATAGCAAGTGAGAAAGTAAATGGAAATCAGGTAGTTATGCTTAGTTTAGACATCAATAAAGCATATGACTGTGTCGATCTAGCGAAACTAGGTAAAATTCCAACTGATTTTACAAAAACGTCACAATGCAGACTGTGGATTCTAAATTTCTTTTCTTCATGAACTCTTGTGATGGGCTCAAATTCAGGTGAAGTTTGTGAACGTCTATTTCAAGGTAGCTGTCTCAGTCCATTACTTTTTAATCCATATACGGCCGATTTACATCGATTACAGGACAATACAACACATTTATTTCAATATGCTGATGATTTCTTAATAATCGGAAAATCGTTAGTAGAAGCAGTCTTTGATTTTAACATCAAATCTAATCGTTTCTACAAAGATTGTGCGGATTTAAAATTATTTTTCAACCGTGGAAAATCAAAAGTCATCCGCTTTGCTAAGGGTTCTAAAAAATTCTACATCACATTTAACGGCGCAAAAATCACACAATCTTCCTCCATCAAATTTCTGGGTAGAATAATTAACTCATTACCGAGACACTTTAGAAAATTGCTACAGAGGCTCAAATGTTATCAAACTGTTAACCAATCTACAAAATGGAGTCCCACCAAAGAAAGCTTTAAATGTCTATATATCTATTGTTCGTTTGAAAATTCACACTCAATTCTAAGACGCTGTACCGGTCTGCCTCCCTTCACGCCAACATCAGTTTTACGTTCCATTTCCTATGAACTTCCTGTAGCAAAGAGAATATTTCTTTTAACTGCGCAAGAACTTCTCCTGGTAAAAATTTTTTAACCTGCTTTTTTCGATAAAGTCGTCGCCAAATATACAGAGGTCTTAAGTAGTTCCTCAAGCTGTTACAAAAAATTCAGTAATATTTTCGATAAAGTTAACAGAATACCCTCTTGGAAAAGTATTTCTCACGAAAAGTGCGTCTTGGAATTAAACATACTTAATTCGATCACTGAATCATAAAAAAATCGGTCAAAATCTTGCCCTCGCACTATATGTTTGCAAAAATTTAATTACTTTATTGAAAATAATTTCAAAATATACACAACGCATGGATGAATAAGTTCGGATATTTCTAGTTTCTCAGTTATAGAGTATTCAAATTTACTTTTAGGAAAATTCAAAGTTCTGCGAGAATTATCATCCACTTTCATTGAACTTCTGACTATCAGACAGGCAATCCTCTTTGCAATTGAGAACAAGTTAAAAAAATTTGCATGTTTTTCCGGCAGGAAATCTGCTCTGATGTTAATCAAGAATAAAGACCCATACAACAAGTACGACCCAAGCATGGAAGAATACCACCTAATCTGGATCCCAGGACACAGTGGTTTTGGTATCAATGAAAAAGCAGATTTTTATGCACGTCAAGCAAGGTTTGATGGCACCCAGTGAGGCTCTCCTGCTAATCCAAAAATTTATTGTTAAAGAATGGATGGACGAGTATCATGTTTTAGTTAGAGAAAAAAGTGATCGTCTTTTTAACAAAATTTACCCTTTTTTGACACCCAAACTTTTACCTAAAGGAAAATTTTCAACATGGGAATTTAAAATACTTCATAGAGCCTTATGAGTAATCACACTTATAACAAGGTACACTTTAAAATGATCAAAGTCTCTTCCACTGATAATTGCGAAGAATGTAATATTACTGAGTCTGCTGAACACCTAGATTTTGAGTGCAGGAGGTTTGACAGCCTTAAACAGTCTTTCAGTATATTTAGCCTATATGACAATCTATATGAGATTTTTCCTGCTAGAAACTTTATGCGTCTTAAGCAACTGACTGTCAAATCAGCTGATTTTTCTTTCTAATCTTCTACATCCATAATTTTCTGTGTAAACACTGATCGCCTATACTTTTTTCTGCTTAGTTATTCTTAGCCGAAATTTTGACTGTACACTACCTCTTACGGAGGCTTATGGGAACAATTGCTGAGCAGAACATCAGCAGTTTAACAAGCATAAGTATCACTTAAAAAAAAAAAGAAAGAAAGCCCTTATCTTACGTTTCGGAAAAACATAAAAATACCATCAATGATTTTTTTCTTACATTACTGGATTATGGGTCTAAATTGAATTAAATAGGCCTTATCCATATCCAAACAAACAAGAAAAAAGAAATAGTATTAATTTCAAAATTTCTAGAATGTTTTTCAGACCCAACAGCTTTCTTTGCTGTGATTACTGCTTGCGAAGCTTTTCGAGCAATATTTGAGGACAAACATAAATGCATTAAGTTTTATAAAAATGAAAGTTTATATATAATAATATATTTATCGCAAATCAATATATGAAATCGTACTAAAAAATAGAAAAAAAATTATAAAAAAATAAATAACGTGTAATATATGTACGTATGTTTATATAGAAATAAAATAAAAAATATATATCTATATATACATATATATTGATCTTCTGGTTAGATTTGTAATAGTAAGCATACTCCAGCTAATGTCCATTTCCCTGGTTTTTCTTTCGTTTTTAAATTAAACGTCCAAACGTAAGTGGGGCCACGTTGTCTTTATAGAAATAAAAATAAAGTAATACAAATTTAGTTAGTTATCATATTGTTGATACTAGAACTATCTAAGCTTAAAAAAAAATGTTCGATGTCAAAAATGCGTTCAAAAATTTTTTCGGTGCTTTTTGTTTTGATGTATGTGTAAGACATTCAAATACCCATAAACACTTGGAAAGAAAGAGAGAATAAACTTTCGACTGCAAATTAATTTCCAATTCATTCTAATCGACATTGACATGATCTCCACCCAATTACAAATAAATTGGCAACGAATTGTAATTAAAATCTTGGCGTTATTTGGGGATTCGTTTATTTGGGGAATCGTTTTGGGATATATAGGGACTAGGTTTTCGCTATCGAAAGTTATAGTACGAAAATATGAAAACATTGCTGATACTCTTTCGAAGCGGTCTCAGTTTCCTTTATAGTGCACACCTATTGTCTAATCTGAGAACTATGAAATAGATTTACGAAAAAAGTTAAATCCAAAAGTATTTTACCGAATTTTGTAAACCGGGCATTCATAAACATTTTTCGTATCTTGTTTGTCTTTTTGGACAGCTTTAACATATATGACAGGCATGGCTGGAAATAGCTCTTTAAGAAATGCGTCAGCGATTGTATTCATATTCATGTCCCAACGCGCACCTTCCATATATAAACCGTTTATATAAGCTCCTTCACGTGGGGCCGATCTGAAAATGCAAGCGGAAACAAAGAGTTGAATAACTTGCCGCTACCCGTTGTATAAATAAAGGAATATAAAAATGCAGTCCAACAGTTTACAAACTTATTCGCAAGATTTTATCAAATCGTACAAAAAATATTATTTGAAATGCCAATATGGATGAATAAGACCAGTTAATTTTCCAACGAACTTGGATAAGTGACAACAATGAATAACGACTAGTACAGCTATACTGGAAGATGATTTCAAAGCCCAACTGGCAAAATTGGGTGGATCCGAGATGTAAAGAGGACAAATTCACTGAGAGCCAATCTTAATGAAATTCGCGATATTTTTGTTTCTCTTTTGTGCACTTCTTTGATCAGTCATCAAGGGAGCTTTCCCTACACTGATGGCCGAAACAGAGTTAAGTACACGAAATTGGTAACAAAGACTAGTGCTTGTTTATATTTTGTTTATCTATCATATACAGGAGAAGTTTTTTTAGGTGCCATGGATTTTTCAAAGTGCTTTCTTCAGGAATTTGTCTCTTCTTGAAAGATCTACATTTTATGTACACATTATGAGTGTTATAAAGCACATATATCTACTCAAATTTTATTGTAAAGTATCTACGTAGATAATTTTAATATAACATTTTTTTATTTATTTTTGAGTTGACATGCAAAAAACATCAAAGGAAACTAAGATTTCAATGACAAGATTTCAAAAATCGGCAAAAAATATAACGCTCATATGAAAAAATTTTGTATTAAGATTGTGAATATAATAAACGACTTACGAAATTTCTTCTTTCGTTTTCTTAGTAACATCGGTGTTTAGACACATTCGATCCAAAGGCCATTCATTTTTACGTGCGGTCTGTTGCATAATAGCCGTTAAGAAACTCTGCGGATTAAAGAACCCACCTAACCAAACTGATGATGGTAAACGGAAATCAGCAACCCAGCCTTCTAATTCCCGTAATCGCAACTGTAAATCGGCAAACCATGATTGTAAGCCTAAGGTGCTAGGATATGCCAATTTAGTCCACGATTCCGGCACTTGATCCATAAAAAGTGATTGCATTAGATTCTCCATTATGGATGATATCGTTAGTTCACCTTTTAAACCCAAATCTAATTCGTTAAGAGATCTCTTCAATTCTGCCATCAGTATATTCATACGTTCACATTCTTGGAATGCTACCAGAATGTAGGGATTACGATCCTCGACACGCGCCATCAATTCATATATATTAAACGGCGATGGAATTTTGTCAATAAGATCTTCGAGCATGCCTTTAACTACATCTTCTTGTGACTGGGCTTCGCCACCGCCAGCATCAGAAGCGCCTGCTAAACGGGGTTGCAGTTCGAAAACTGTGCGGAAAAGGCGCTCGGAAACGGTTGTTAAGAAACCAATTTCTGCATTTAAATGTAATCCGTATAAATTGGGGCTTTCGGGTGGAAGATTTTCATCTATGTAACTATGATATCCGGCGTACTTTAAAATACCAGGGGCTGGGAAACCGCTGCAAAATTCTAATTCACCATCAATTAGTTCTGGTTGCATAAATTCTTCTAAATATGTGCGACATAGACGACGATCGCGATCATCTGTTATATGACCTCCGTACATAATCTCTCCAAAGAGATAACGTAAATCTTCCCAAGGTACACGATTATTTGCCTCTAAATAATTGTAAAGGACATATACTGATATTGTCAGATCGCCCACATTGAAAGGATAAACACGATTCCAGCCTTGTGCTCCGAACTTTCGACGCTCGGCTACGACAGCATGAAAATAGCAGAGAGAGAACAATATAGCTTTAAATTCAGTTTCTTTAGAACACATTTCCAATGTCTCGTCACTGAAATTATCCAAAGCCTTATGGATATTAGCTTGCATACCGGTCGGAGGTTCATTGGTTATCTTAATCGCTGATTCTAATATACCTTGGGGTAATATGTGAGCGGCAGGGTCGCCAGCTGGTTCTGCACTCAAAAACAATCTATAGCTTGGATTTACATCGATTAAGGATGCTTCCATTTTCTTCTCCAATGAAGGTAACCAACGTGCCACCAAATGTATATTTTGCAGTATAACCCAATGACCTCTCTTAGATGCAGTATCAATAGCATTTTCAGCAACTATTTCCTGACCCTGTCCCAGTGAGACGCTATGAAAATTTTCATGATCACCGTGAAATCCCAAGACTTTTCCCAACTTTTCAACATCTTTTAAAGGATCTACACCGGCAGAGAGGACGAAGAATATATGAGTTTCAGCGCTAGATTCCTCAAAGGTCTTTGCGAATTCCATCGAGCGTGCATCAATATATTTGGATCCTAATTTTTCTTCGATGAATACCTTCATTGAATATGACATACGATCTGGCCGTATACACCGCATTATGCAAAGCCTTTGAATCGCTGATTTGCCTTTCCATTCGCCCGGAAATTTTTCTCTCTCAGGACATTCTGAATCAATAAATTTTTTCCATCGCTTATGTGACCCCTCTATGTCTTTATCGAGACCTTTAAATGCTGGTAAATTACTTAAAGCTCTAATGCCGCCCCAGGCAACATTTGTAAGGAACGCCAGATTAGAAGTCACGTTAACCATATATGGATATCGCAGTAAGAAATCAAGTTCTGATGGTTCAACTTCACCAGCGCTTATCAAAACCTGTATCGTTAGCTGAGTTAGAAAAGTTAATTTATCGGCTTCAAAAAGACCACGCGAAGTATACATGAAACTGCAATAAGTAATTGAATCAATTAGATTTTCGACTCGATCTTTTAGTTTCTCAGCAGGCGTTGCCCTAAGGATGGCATTGGAAAATACCACTGTAAACGCTTTCAGGGAAAATTGATAAATGGGATTTATTTTAAATAAATCATTCAAAATGAAATATATGATGGAAGCGCGTTCTGAAGCGGGACGATAGGCTTCGCGTGCCGTATCTATTTGAACAGCTGTAATTTTCGCTTCGGCTACTTTCACTTCGATTTCATCAGCTGTTTTCTTGGTCTTCTCTAGGTTCATTACAAGTGAAACATCTTCTAAAACATTCTCGCCTGCAGAGGACAAACGTTGAAGTAAGTCATCTTCGAGAAATTTCAAAGTAATTTTAAAATGATTCTGCTGCTGAGTAAGACGAGTCCTCAATACCTCCAAATCGGGTCTTTCGGCTTTAACAACTTCGGCCAGTAATTGATCTTCCAAACCATCGCGTGTAACAGTGAAATTAATAAGCGTCGTTTGCGCTTGCATCTCCGGCTTATAATGAGGATTAGCCAGTTTTGTGTGGAGAATTAAGCGAAATTTTGGATTGAAGTCAATTTCTTTATCACCCATTTTCAAACAAGTGCCTTTCTTAATCAACATACGACCAAGCAATGGATTTAAGACTGCGTCTACATTTTCGCCGATGTTTTCTAGTAGTAGAACGTTTCCGTTACTAACCGCATGCTCTATTTTTTCCAAATAACCTTTCTGTGTAGTTCGCAACACTACGATAGTGGAGCTATATTTTTGTTTTACCCATTTTATACCTTGCCTAGAAGAAAAAGCAAAATTAGAACCGATTTGTTAAAGCAACAATTTTCAAGCTTTATGTGCACCACAAAACATATATTAAATATTGATAGGGTCACACGGGTTGAGTCTAATTAGGACTGTCTATCTTGTCAGTCTCTAGAAATCATGAGTATTATAAATTGTCTAAGCAATTTCATCCTTTTTTTTTCTCAGATCACAATTGCTCTATATATTCGAAATGTAACTTTAAAATATTATAAAGGTGGATAATAAAAAATTCGAATTAAGCTGGATATAATTCTACTGTTTTTAGACTAGACTTACAATTGAGGATCAATCATTAAAGGATATCGATCAGAGTGTACTAAAATTGCAGCATTTTCAGCCGACATTCGGTCACTGGGTAGGCCTTGATTATTCCACTCAGCTATTTGAGCATCATCACAGATCATTTCGAAGGGATCGCTGCCCTCACTGGACGGAATTTTTGGCTTTAAAGGGAAACGTATAAATGATATTTTGTATATCAGCAGATGGATAAATTATTTAAATTCATACGTCGCTGGCCTTGAAAGCAGGTGCCCACATTTTTACTTGCAATTCTGTCCGATAGGGGCGAGTGAAGCAGCCAACATAAGAAATGAAGCATGATATAAGCAAAATATCGCCTGGTAATGTAATTTGGCTGCTAAGCAGACTGCATTATCAAAGAGAAGTAGAGATGAAATATACAATTATTACTTATTTTAGTGGATTATCGAAATAATCACTTTACTTTTTCACCGATTCAGTCCAACGTATTTTTTCAGATGCCAAGCCGCCGATTAAACGATTTGCTAAATCGATGGTAAAGGCAGTCTTATCTGCTTCATCCTGACATTTTTGTTTCTTGGCCAATGCTTCATCGTACTCCGATTGTAGTACATTCAATTGTTCTTCCAATTCATTAAGACGCTGATTTAATGCCGTCAGTTTATCACGAGCATCCTGTAATTCTTGTTCAGCTTCAACAAGGGCCCTCTCTTTAGGCTCGACGATTAAGTAGACTTCATAGAAACGATTAATATTAATAACCCATGAACATAAACCTGCAGCGGCGGCTGACTTGGCAAGAATTTTTTCGGGAATAAATTCTGGATCCGCTATGTATGGCTGCAATGCTTTTATAATATCTGGGTGTATATGCTTTTTGTCGTAATTCACTAAATCATTGAGAAATTTATCAACATTTCCCATAATGCTGCGACATGATTTCCAACTGCGATCCTTGGGTATCTTTCCTTTCTGCGAAAATAAAACCAATACGGCAGCACATACGCTTACCACTGCTTCCGGAGGTGAGCCAAAAGATTTCAATTCGGTTAAGTTGTTTTTGTTTAATGTGTTTAAAGCCTCTTGGGCGGCAATAAGTGCAGGCTGAGCTTTGCGGAAATCCTCTTCGCAAAGTTTAGCTTTCGCTGTGACGTCTTCTTCAATTTGCCGAACATTTTTCTCTTCTTTGGTAGCAAATGCTCTTTCCTTCGAAACTTTTTCATTTTCAGTGCTAACAACCTTAATCAAATTATCAGCGTCTTCGTTTTTAATCCTCAACTCTACTTCTTGCACTTTAAGTACGTCTTGTAGGGCATCAACTTCTTTCGAGCAACTGGCTAATTTAATGAGACCATTTCCTAAGCGGGTACGGCGATCCTGATTAGCTCTTACTTTTTCTTTTAATAATTTTGTATACAAGCTTATTAATTCTAGGAAAGATTTTGGGGTCGTATAATTATAACGTTTGTCATTAAGCAAATAAACGTTGGATATGTCATTGACAGTTTTATGCACGTAGGCCATAAATCGGGAAACCGGCTTAGCCAGATCTTTAGGCAGAACATCAATTTCAGACAGAAAGCTATATGACACAGATTCCAAAGCGTCACGTGGCCACTCGTGAAACCAATCAATCGTTGTACAATTTACCAATGAGGGGAAATTACGTGCACGCACACGTAGAGTTGTTCCCACGGGCGAAAAGCATAGCACAACTTTTAACATACCGCGCACTTTCTCGATAAAATGTTTCCAACAGTTTTCGCGATTGTCGACAATACCTAACTGTTTAACTTCGTTACGTACGGCATTAATAATATTTTCTATCTCATCATCCGGGAAAAGTTCGTGAATTTCACCGGATGCCAACAAATCATTTACCAGAACCAAAAATTGCTCCCTTGCCACTTCGGCATCTGTCATCAAAAAACAGCAAGGTGAGGTCTTCACGCCGCATTTCATATATAGCGAAGCGATGTTCACTTTTAAATCATTGATGCTGTAATCTTTGGTTAGCTGTATTTGGAAAACGTCAAGCGAAGAAATGAAGGCGGCAAGTCTTGTTAAAGACTGCTTACCCGAACCTCCTACACCGATTAATAATGCGTAGCCTCGTGATGACTCGACAATTCGACTAATACGGCATACATGGGCCATGGCGTCCTCAAAGAGTACCAAATTCATAGCACCTATAAAGTCATTATATCTTTCTTGAGCTTCCTCAAGCAATTTATGTAATCGCTCCCAGTCAGGAATTGGCATATACTTAATATCGGACAAGCCTTTTGCAAAATGACAATATATAAGAGGTTTCGAAAATACCGCATCTTCGTTAAAACCTTCGATGCCTTTCCGCACCATATCCATTACAACTTTATTGAAAGCATTTATGTCACTATAATCAACTAACTTATCACCATAGACGCGATTACATTCGTGAACCCACAAACGTAAAAGTAAATTTGGATTAGGGCAAGTTTCAAAATTAGCATATAGCATGCCCTAAAATGAAAGGATATTAATAATATTTACGGCAAAGTAGCAGGGGACATACCGTAAAAATGTTGGCAATATCGCGTAGATTGAAATTGTAGTGAAATTTAACAGCCGTGGGCAAAAAGGTTGTAGCCACCTTCTGATGTAGTAATATCGCAGTCTGTACAAGAGGTCCGCACAATGAGATCACAGACTTCGCAAATTTATGTATCGGATTATTTAAATGCTGCGACAATATCGAATTCAATATATGGAATAAAGCATCCGGACTGGGCTGACTAAAAATAAAATATTTCATTTTATCTTCGCATGGGTAACTGAAGGTTCAACTTACTTTACCGCGAACGAACAAAAATGCCTTTGGAGGCGTGGATTTATGGTGAACGAACCAGCCGAAGGATTCATGCATGAAACGAATTGACAATTATGTATATCACGCAGTGTCATTTTCAAGCGATCGTACCAATGGTGGTAATCCATAAATTGACGTATTAGTGTGTGGGGTTGTACGGTACCATATTTGTCAACTTCAGGCATATTCATATCATCTACGAAATACAACATACGTTTATTTCCTTGTGGCCCATAATTGCGACCTGCCTTTTTCTCTAAGGGCTTCTCTAAAATACGTTGCAGCATTTCAGATGTTGTGTAAAAGTTGAACGGTACATTTGTAATCGCAAATTTCTCTGTGGGCAGTGAAGTGAGTTTAGAATTCATTATAATTGTTTTACCGGATCCAGGTGGCCCAATAAGCATAACAGGATAATTATCCTGTATAAGAACGTCCATAAAATAGCGAAGACGAGTTGTTTCTGAAGTATGGACGAGATTTGCTTGAAGTGGTATATCTGGATCCAATTCAAAATCGGGTACCAATTTTGTCCAAGGTTCAAATTTTTTCGTTTCATGATCAACGTAAAATGCAAAGATATTTCCAGTACCAGGAAACTTGACAGCTTTGAATTCATTTAAAAACCATTTGCTAAATTCATTACGCCAATCAATGATTTGATCTTGGAACAGTGTAGAACCAAATCCCCAGACTATAGAAAATACGAAATATATTTCATACCAATCCTTCGGACAGTCGGCCGGCACATTTTGCGGAGTTAATAAGCTATTTAACAAAAAGCAAGTCATTTGAAGCATAGCAATATCGGATATTGGAGTTATTTTCTTTAATCGGAGTCTGAAAACTTCCAACATCGGCGGCACATACTTGTCGAATAGCACATTAAGTGTTGAAATTTCAGATTGATTAGTCCTTGTATTAAGCCAAGACAATATAAAAGGTGTCCAACCCAAATCTTGCGGATTTATATACAAAATACCAGCACGTGAAACTGTAGCTGGTGTTGCAGTTTTTAAATTAGCGATTTCGAACAATAAACGCATTTCTTTTGTTAGCGCGATACGTTCATTACTAGCCAATGTTAATACCTTATTATCGTCCATTACAGTATTCAAACTTTCAATCCACATAGGATCAATGTCACCATCTAATACTATCCATTTCGGGCCAGTACCTCCCAAATTTGCTTGATCACGCATTATGATCGAAAACAAACCATCTTTCCATTCTCTTGTCGCTGGATTAACTATCCCAAACAATTCGTCATTTGTAACGGCTTTAGGATTCAAATCGTTATAATGCGGCTTTCGCTTTTGATTAGAATAAGTTTTATTTAGAGTCTTCCATACTTCCGATTTGCCAGTGCCGGCAAATCCTATAATGAAAACTGAATGACGTACAGCGAAAAGTTCCTCGAGTTGAACTACTTTTAAGATGAAACCATCATCTGGTTGCAATTTAAGATCGACTGCCGATCTTTTAATAACCGCTTCAAAGTCTAGATTACGTTTTCTCGGAACATCCAAAGCCGGGAATAGATCACCAATTAAACCCATAAATACGGGCAAATCATCAGTAACAATTTTTGGAATATTGAAATCACGTAAAGCTCTCATTAACACTTGATCCTCTGGCCGATAGCGATCGTCACGCTGAAATTGCATAATTTATATATATGTCACATGAAGATATTCATCATAACTTAAAATTATGATAGCTCTAGCGAGCTAAACTCTAATTGGAAACTGAAAGTGAGTACTCATTTCATTTCCTAAATCGAGTGCACAATTTCTTGCGCTGCGCTCATATCTTCGATTTAAGAAAAACGTGCGGACTTTTATACTCATGTGAAACAAATCGCTCTCAGGAAGGATTCAGCGTCTACTATTCTACGCGAAAAAGTTAGTAGTCGCAAACTGGGCACAAATATTAATAAATCATTCAATGAAAACAAACCTAAGCAGATCAGAGTTTGTAGGGACGAGACGACAATTAAGAGAATTGAAACTGAGTGCACAGATTTCTCAACCGAAGAATATTATGGAATTTGTTAAATTTTAAAATGTAAATTTGAAATATTTTACCCTCAAGGCGCCAGCGACCACCAATACAGACTTGATGGCTCTTAGTCCCCAATCGTAGTGATCTTGCTTTGATAATAACTCCTTACATAGTTCATAGAGAGCAATGAATTTCCGAGCTAATAGACGAGCTTCTTGAAATCCTTCGGCGACGAGCATAATTTCACTAATTAATGCAAAATCAGGTACCACCATTGCACACGGTCTATATAAAGCCTTTAAGTTTTCTGGTAATTCCGCTCGTCCCGCATAGCCGGGATTCATTGTAATGAACATTCCAACAGTGGGTCGCAACGAAATAATTTCGCCCAAAAAATTGAAGATCACTTTCTTCGCTTTAATGGCATCTTGTATGCATTTCACTTGAACGGCAACCACAGATAAAACTTCGACCGATATGCGATTGAACTCATCAAAACAGCCCCAGGCGCCAGTTTGTGCAAGGCCTTTATGAATATCACCAACTGATTTATAGTCCATTTGCTCAGAGCAATTGAAGACGTAAACCATAATTCCTAAGGCTCGTCCCAAGTCTTTGGTCGTTTCAGTTTTGCCAGTACCGGCTGGACCAGCCGGCGCACCACCCATAATCAAATGAAGTGATTGCGTTAGAGTTATATAGCAACGATCCGTTAAAGGAGTGATAACCAATCGTGGTGTATTTCCAAGATATTCGTAATCATATTGAAATTGAGCGTCACATATATTAGCGAAGCAATCTTCGAACTTAGTATCCCAACGATGTCTTAGTTGAGATTGCCACTGGAAAGCTGTAACGACCTCAACTTTAGCTGTTATTATTTTCGCTACCACATCTCGACTGTGCACATCGATAGTACAAATGGTACATATTTTTTGTCGATCGGACGCGGTAAGATCGGACAATAAGAGATTAATAAGATGATTTAGTTGAATAATTTGCTTTTTATTATAATCTTTTAGCGCGTTCTCATAACGCTGTTGTACTTTGGCAAACGCGTCGTTAGTTTCGGTTGTCCACCAAATTTGCGTTGTGACTAAGGCCGGTTGAGCTGGCCAATCAAATATCCAAAGATGACGGGGTTTTTCCTCGTAAGAAATTACAGCTCGGCGAAATTGATCACGTAACGTTTCTCGCATTTTATCGGTGATCCTAGTTAGCCATGCTTCAACTTTACCACTGCAATCACAAGGTTCAAGGAATGGAACATATTCCTGATGCTCCTTAGCAACCATGCCCGCAGCTGACTTTGAACCAACCGAAATATTTAGTGAACCAAGTGAATCGTACAATTTTGTCAAGTGCTTCGCTACCATTCTAGGATTATTACCATTCGATAAGATATCTAAAAGATCAGCGGACGATACAAAATAAAATCGAGGATAGGCTAAGCGTTTCGTTTCCAAGTAATCATTTAGAGCTTTTTCGCAGAGCAACAACAGATGGAGTAAATGCTCCAAATTTTCATACAGTTTACTACCAGGCTTATTGGTAGATCGCACTACATTTCGGTCTGCATTCATTTGCGTCAGCATAGATTTAAATTCCCGATCGATTGTATCGAATCGTCTTGAGTCTTCTGGTAGCTGAGCCCGAATATCTTCCGAACCAATAAATATACTCTCCAAATAAACCCATTTACGTTGAACCTCGAACCACGATCCAATAATCTGATCAGCGTTAGATAGCTTTATTTGCCAATTTGTAACTTCGTTTTGAAAATGAGCTATATATTTCGATGAAGCCATGTTTTGTAACTGAACTTGATTTTCTTCAAGAACTTCAATCATTTCTTCACTTGCTTTCAATAGTTTTAACCCTGTGCGTTCATGAATTTCATTTTGGAACTCCATAGTAGCCCAAACATTGTGCAAATCACGTAAAACTTTTTCCATAGCCATCTCTTTAACGGACTTATCTACAATATTTTTCACTTCCTCTTCGTATTCGTGTAGATTCAAGTCAATTAAATCTTTTAATGTTGTTGAGTCGTCCATACTGAATTTAACTTTAGTAGTTTGCATAAGCTCAATCCAATGGCGATCGCGTATTGCGGGATTCTGCAATTCAGTGACGGCCCGCAACGAAGTCATCAAATTTTTTAAAGAGTTTTCTGTCTGTATATAAGGATCCCATTTGCGCATTTCCTTATCCAATCCACGCAACTCTTTGCCAAATTTTTTACACTCTTGATCCATAGATTCAATATCAATTTTTTTCCAAGGCGTCTTCTTCCAATCCTCAATTGTCGACGCTATAGTTATATTGAAATCCCACATAATTTTAATAAGTTGCAAGTCTCGCCGACAACGTTCAATTTTCGTTGGATCAGGACCTTGAAGTTCGAAAAGAACAGCTGAGCTGGTAAGTGATCTGTGACGGTCCTCAAGTGCGACTATTTCAAGATCAGCCTCGTCGATAATTTCGTATACGTTGGGACAGAACGCATTGAAAAACTAAAAACATGAATTAATTGTAGTAAAGGAAAATGGGAAATACTTAGCATGGATAACAAAAGTTAACTTTATACCTTTTTCTTTAAGAACTTCTTGCGATAGGTTGTCGCCATATTGTCGCATAATAATATTCGCTTTTCAATAAGATCGACTTGATACGATTGAATCGGGGCAATAATTTGTTTCACAGTCGCAGCTTGTTTTTTAACTTTAACCCATTTTTCCGGTAGCTCTGTCATCTGCAAAATATTATAACTAAGGTGGCAGTACAAACTAAAAAATGGCCCGTCAGTACCATAGCTAATTCGGTGTCCTTAAACTCGTAATTGTATGTCTTCAATAGATCAACGATTTCTCGAAGCGGTTCAAACATGTAGTCATAGATAAATTGTTTCTCGTTGATTGTGTTAAGGACAGATAATATCTTTAGTAAACCATCGAAATCGTCTTTATTAAGTTCAATTTTGAGAGCTTCGTTAGCTTCTTCAACAAATATAGCCAGTTCCTATTATGTTAAAAAAAAAAAAAATGTAAAATCCCTGCTGAAAACTTCTCATCTTCTCTTACTCTAAGAGAGTTTTTAACTCTATCTATCAAATCGGTCTTGAATAGACTAATCCACTTAGCAACCTGATTTAAAACGGCATTTTTAAAACCCGTCTTATTCAAACGCAACCAAACGTTAATATTTTGATAAGTCTCCCATTGGCTGATCTGTTTTTCCAGAGCGATAAACTTGTCTAACTGCAATTGGTTCAAGTATTCGATCATTTTATGTATATATATATATATATATGTAGGAATATCCAAGTTGGCGTACTTGTTCTTTGTAAACACTAAGCGGCGGATATTCATCTTTCAGTGGCTTTACTCCAGACGCACCCTCGGCTTCGAGTTCTGCTTCTCTTTCAGATAATGTGAGAGGTCGCCCAAATTTTTTCACTTCAGCCAGATATTGTTGCTTATCCAACATCCATAAATAGCTGTAGTCCATGAAGGGCTTAGAATGTGTTCGAACAGACTGCAAACCGAACTTTACTTTCGTTAGTATGTCGGTGCGGCTTTTATGAATTTCCGCCTTGTCCGCTATCTCATCTAAACGAAAAAAAAGAACAAAAACAAAAAATGCAGGAACAAAAAAATTGGTTGATATTTAAGTTACAACAATTAAAAAATTCTTCTCAGTAGCTATAGAAAAATATAAAGAAATTGAAACCGTGGTATTTCTAAGAACAGTGGAATGGAAATTCTTTCACTGATTGTGTAGCAGAAAGAGTGAAAATGTAACGACATCAACTATTTCATGGCAGTTGTAATGGAAGTGAGAAATAATTTCGGACAGTATGGAAAATAATATATAAGATATTTTAGATGAAAGCGAGGATGCAGCGGCCAAAAGTAGACGGCGTCAAGAATTACCAACTGAAGGTTATTTATTAGATGCGCAAAGAGTAGCTGGCGAAGTAATAACAAATCTCTGTTCTGACGGGGATGATGAAGGTAAATTGCATGGATGTATTGAAAGTTTTTTTAAACTGGTTAATGTTTAGATGGAAATGATATCGACGATGAAAGTATATCGGAAAATGAATGTGTAGTAGATTATAAGTCTAATAAAACCAGTGGAAGCAATTTAAATTTAGTCGAGGGCGATAAATTCACATTTGACGTGATAGATGTCATTAAAACTTTAGACAGTACGAATGAAGATAGGGACGTGATAAGTACAATATTCTTACATTAGTTGAAACCTTGCTAAATGTAAATATATATTTATGTATCGAAAAATATATATTTTTTTTTGTTGTGTGTGAGAGTTATGTTCTCTTCCGTCCTTTAATTATGTTACCTCCAAAATCGAGTAACTCGTCATCGCTGGCAGCAGGATCTTGAGCAGTACGCGGCAACATTTCCATCATATGGTACATATCGTCAAGTAGAGTTTCCACATGATATGTGAAACCAGCCTTTGAAGTTGGATCCAAGTTCAAAAAATAGGTTACATGCGGTTCTTGCAATTCCATCAAAATTTCAAAAATTGGAAAATCATTTTCATAACGATTTTCAATTTCCATCTTTAAGTAAGTTAGGCTAGTTATCACAGCATCAAGAAGTTGTTGGGTAATTTCCTGATCGACGTATTTTTCGTAAGCCCGAAACAGATCTCTTTCTTCTTGGGTAAGCGTTTGCAAAAGTTCATGGCGATGCATTGCCGTAATAAACTCTTCCTCGTCATCTTCTTCTCCTTCATCGTCCTTCTTATCGTCAAAAATATCATCGGGATATTCTTCTTCCTCTTCTTCGACTTCATCCATCAAATAGAGTCGACGTGGAATATCGAAAAACAATTTTGCATTTTCGTACATTATGCGATCAATAAGGACGGACGTTATGCCAGCGTGAGCTACGCGTTCCGCCAAAATATCCATACGTGGTTCAGTTTCGAGAAATGCCTTTGGATTTTTATCCTTTCGCTGATATAATGGAACTTTTCCCCACTCGTTAATACTTTTCTTAATGGCCTCTATATTTGCTTGACTTCTCTCTAAACGTTTGTGTAGATATTGAATTTTTTTAAACACATCCACAATGAACTTTTGTTCTGTATAATTAATGAATGGATAAATTAAATTTTTTCTTTTTTCTTAAGCTACAAGCATTTCATACCGAAATTGTTCCAAGTGATTTTGCTAACTAAAGGTTCCATAAAGATTTCATACGAAGTAAGTTCACTTCGTATAAGAGCTTTCTCACTCGGCTTAGATCTGTAGTTTATATCATTGTACCATTCGGAAATGCGTTGTAATTTAATGCGCGCGCTCTGTAACGAGCACACAAGCGTGATAAAATTTTCAAAAATCGTTTCTTAACACTTTTTTTTCTTCTTATACTACGCACCCACAGTCTCTCCTCCTTGTCATAAAACTGCTTTATGTCATCGGGAATAGGCAGTTCCATTAGAAGAACATATTTTGTATCTTTTAAGGCATTTTTAAGATTAAGATTAAAGTTGACGGAGAGGTCGCCCTTCTCATCCTTGGCTAATAAAGTAAATTCCGTACCCTCTTTAATATGTTTTTTAACTTCTAGGATCCAATATAAAAGAATATCCTTTCTTAACCTCTCAATATGATCAAGCATTTCTTCATATATTTCCAGGGTTTGTTGACCATGTTCATTCTCGAAAATTCTTTTTGGAAAAATGTGAAAAAAGATATACTACGCTACCGTTAATCGCAATATTAAAAATCTTTCACTTACGGATAATCGTATAGTTCATAATCTGTACGGATCCAAGATATTCGATATTGCAACTTATTTAACCAAGATAAAGCGCCAGTAACTGGCGGAAAACACATATCGGTATTTAAAGCCTGTAAAAATTGTAACATAAAACATTTTATCTATAATAGTTAAAAAAAAAATAAAAAAAAATACCGTACACTTATGCCTTCTGTCTCGCACGTTTTTTGAAACTCATTAAAATCGACTTTCACGGACGCAATCTCGTCAGCAAAATCATCAATTAAGATATGCATGAAGGGATCGATATGAGCTTTAATAATCGGCCTTAGAAGCAGGGTACCGCAAAGCAAGAGATCGTGAGAGTCCTCTAAAGCTTTTTCAAATTGATAGGCAATTTTACGCTCCAATATATCAGTTTTTTCTTTAAACGCAACACGATCACTTTCAAAAGTAGAGCCTTGATAATCCGGATCCAAAGGATTATACTGTATATTTGACCATTCCCGATAATAACCGTTATATTCCTCTAAAATTTTTTCAATCGCCATTGTAATTTGCCGTCCTTTTAATCCGCCCACAGTAACTTTTTCCAATTTAAGAAAATCTCGTCCCGTTTCGAAAAGTTCGCCTAAAGTTTCAAGGCGCGCAATAAACTTATCGAATCTGTCGAAAATTTCGGAAGGATGCCAGGTCCAATCTTGTGAATTGAATTCAGTTCCAACTTTAAATTTTTTTAAACTACCGCGTGTATCTTTGTACGTAGAACGATAATACTCCAAATGATTAATATTTGTAGTAATTTTTTTATAAGCCTCATCGACATCTCCTTGGAAGATAGCATCCGGTTCAATAGTACGCATTGCGCATTCAATTAATGTATTATGCAAGAGTTGAAACAATAACACCATATTATCAAGGGTATGAAAATATTTTGAATGCCCCCAAACAAGTCCGACCGTGAGTAGTAATGGCCGTATATTTGCCCGATTTTCATCCATATCGGCCGTTTCAAATTTATCAATTACTTTACGCTAAAATAGTTTATATATAAAATGCGTGAATCAATTATGCTTAAAACGATGACTGATATAGGAGGTCTACGTTTACCAATGGTGTAAGATATTTTGTTATATCCCGAGCTTCGGCTAAAGCTTCCAAGACTAATTCCACTATGCGACGATAACTGCTTTCGAATACCGAACGAATTCTCTCCAAAACAAATCCAATAGTTTTAATGCGTTTATCGCCTAATTGATCGGCCAAATTTTCTAGATTTTCTAAACGAGTCTCCCAAAAGCCCACTAAATGCTCGGGTCTTGGAAATTCATCTTTCGAAAAGATTTTATCCTTGGCTTTTACGTGCACTAAATCTTCAACAGAATCTAACCACTTGACGACCATAAATTCTAAAGCATGCTTCATCAAATGATTGACTTTACCAAGATCCCTTGTTTCAATTAATAAACCAATAAATGTAATATGCATATAAAGTATGTAACAACAGCAACAACTAACCCTTTAGCAATAGCCGGAGCGCTTTCCATTACTTCGTCGATACATATGGGTAAAGGTAATATGGTACGATTAATTACCAGACCTTTCATTTGAGCAATACCATTACGTAGATCTTGAGATTCTGTCTTCATATCATTGACAATAACTGATGTCCAGCCATTTTGATTGACGGGATTATTAAGTAACGGGAATATGACATCATCGCAAATTACGGAAAGATTTTCCAAGACATTCGGCAATATATCGCCAATCATTAGAGCCTACGAATGAATATCCCAATGCACGTTAGTGAGAATATTTAAACAAGTTTCACTTCAATTTCTACTTACGCTGGACATATTTTGCAAAGTTAAATTTGAAGGAACATCATTTCTTATGAAATAAACAACCTTGCTTGTCGGTTTTTCTGGAAAATTGAAAGATGGAACAAGCACCGCAGCAGCATTCAGTGTGAATATTAAACGTTCCTGATACGCATCGTTCACAAATGTGTTAATAATTTCCTACAAAAGAAATGATAACAAAAATCCAATGTATTCAATGCGAAGGATTGTGTGTAAGCAACGATTTAGCCTATTAGCTCATGTGTTCCGAAAAGGCAAAGAATGTTTTGAAACGTTGCTACTATTACTGGCTCGTTTGTGCTACTCAGGCGTGAGGACTTCTAAGACTCCTACTTATCTCGTACATACAAAATGTATTTTTGTCTCAAACATGACTTTTGGTTTTGTGCTTATATCCGTCAGATGATCGGATTTTATCAGCCCGTTTAGAGAATAGCGATGTCTTAGATTTGAAAATCTTGGTTTTTTGTGTTTAAAATTAATACTACAAATTGCAACAATAATAACATCATTATTGATAGACAAACGGACAGGCATAGCTACGATAATTAACAATCTATAATTCATTACAATTTGTAAGGCCTTAAACAGGTCAAAAGCAGGCTGGACTGACGCAATCCCAGGAGCGTATGTACCATACGGAACGCTTTAATAGGCATTTGCAAATGGATAAGCGTATACACGTACATACATGGTAGGTCTCAGTTATCATGAGAGTTCCAATGATAGACAACTTATAGACAGGCAGACTAAATATGATTGAATTTTCGACACGTTATTATCAGAAAGTAAAGCCTAGCGTGCCCATTTCCACCGTTTCACCTCTGTGACAAAATCCATTTTGTGGGAATAAAATCCATCATTTTTCAATTCTACCATCAAGTGAAAGAAGTCTATTAGATAGGCTGTGACGTAGCTGGAAATAGTTATTATAGAGTAAATTCATATTCATAGCTATTTTCTCCTTTCTTAATGAAACTTTTTTCATCCCAACTTGGATTGGATCTGGCAGCGATTGTTCTTGGATCTTACCTGCATTCCCTATAAACACTTACGCCTCCAGATTTTTCATCAAAGCACATATTCTGGTATGGTGCACACTTTTCCTTTGTAAATGTGACTTATAGACACTTTTCCTTAGAGTGTAGAGAATTATGAAAATTAAACCTTAACTATTTCGGCAAAAAAAAGCGGGACTCCATGTTATCTCCCGTCTTCACGTTCCAAGCTTCTTGTTGTTAAAATGGTCAGCTAAGTGGAGTAAATAAGTAATGCTTCTTACAGAATATATTGATTTCTAGCAGAAAACACCTGTCTTCGACAGTATTGATTTTTAAGAAATAAACACCTGCCTACAAGTAGAAAGTATCCTGTAAAGATATTAAAGAGTTATAACCTCTTCCACCTATAATAAGATAAGAGCCACAGTGTCCGTTTGGCTGCAGTTTTTTTTCATTTCCAAAGAACTGATTACAGTTTTTTTTTATTTTCGTAGAACTTCCACGGTTTTTATGTATACTTTACCCAACAAACCAATTTGCACGAATTTTTACCAAATATTTATATAAAATCGACAAAACGATATTTGTTTTACAAACGATTGACCCTCGAAAGTCCTGTGAGTCGAAAATCTGAGCCAAATTTTTGGTTTTTACATTAATTTTGGTGGCAGGTTGTGACGTTGGCGGGCAATGAGACAGACAGTCGTAGGCATAAAACGGAAAAAGTAACTCGATTAAAGTTGGGAGAATAATAAGTTCACAACTTAACAACGAATGAAATTTGATGTCTACAATCGCATAAACGTTCTCGACTTCAATAACTTCCCAAAAAGAGAATATATAGCAGAAGGCATTAAAAATAACGGTATGTTGGCACTTGAGACGAATCGTACGAGTACGATTATCCTCTTTGTAAATACATTATAAATTTAAAGCAGATCTTGCTTGTTTTTTGAATACATTGATTCTTACCCTGAAGTCATTAGATGTCATACATTTTGTCCATTTTTCCTGCTTAAGCCGCATGGTTTTCGTAATATAATTCCAAAAAAATTCTGGCCGTTCATCGACCTTTTCTTTTTTCTTTTCGTCTTCAGCCATTCTTTGAAATCGAGAAAGTCAAGATTTTGCTCTTCTGCAGATTTTAAAAAGTTGCTTAATGTATGCTTTTTTTTTAGATAAATTCCTTATTATTATTTTTTTTTTTTTACATGAATATATATGTATATATATGTAATGTACGTTTGCAGCTCTTTAGTTTATTCGATGTTAAAAATTATTTGCGCTTTTTTGCTGTTTTTAAACGCAATATTTCCCAAGGAGATCTTTTAGGCTATTGAAAAAAATTCTACACTCTTGAAGTTCTCCGTTTGATTAGTATATAAATAAATTATTTTTCTGAAAAAAATTTCAAATGATTTGTCAAGAAAACGAAGAGAAATTACTAAAGTATTTCTTATACTCACTTGTGTTAAGGTGAGAAATGAAGTAATATCCTTAATTCCGTTTATTTAACTAATGTCGCAGGGATGATCGCTTTTAATCCTTAATTACGCTGTGCTCTCTATGTTAGATTTCCATATGACTTGACGCTGCCTAAGATAACCTAAGCAAAGAATTAAGATTCGATAAAAATAAGTGGCTAATTAGATCTACAATAGCCGTGGGAAGAAAGCCAAAATCAAACAACCCTCCCCCCATTCGTCTAAACTATACGCATTGTTCTTAAATGTAGACCAAAAATACATTTCTCGTATCGTATAGCGTAGTAATCATTACCAATGTAAGAAATTTACAAGTACGAGCAAAATTTCAAAAGTAACGCAAGCAAGGACGAGGTACTTATGAAGATAAGAAAAAAGGAGAGAAAATGTTTTTCCATGCAAATGCCTTTTTTTTGTCTTTCCCAACGACGTGTGTGAATCCTTTCAACTATCCATACGCTGATAACTAGCTACAAGTCGTTGGGCTAAAGCAAATTTAATTTTTCACTTTAGCCGAGCGGATAAGGCTGACGACTGTCATGTTAATGTTCGAGGGTTGAAATGTCGATTCTGTAAGTTGCCTGCTTGATCAAAGCCAAGTGAATGAGAGCGGCCACTTTCTATCGCTTTCGCTCTTTCCCTACTTTTTTCTGACCGTTGCCGTAATAGACGTATAGACGACTTCCACTTCCAGTCATCGGTCGTATTAAAAAAAAAGACACAAAGATATATATATTCTTTTGTTTTCTTGATCACTAAGCTTTCGTGGCTTCAATCAATTAATTAGGTAATTCCTTTTTGTGTATTTTTATATGCTAGAACCTATAGATTCTCCTAATGTGTAAAACTGTGCCATCGTTAATTTGTAATACAGACGATGGTGAGGAAAAGTGAAGCAGCATGCATAAGGAAAAAACGGTTTAACTCGACTTGTTATTGCTCTCAATTCATTTATAACAGTTTTATCTTCGAAATTAGGATTTTCTTAACTCAATCATTGTGTTTGCATATCAAATATCGGTTTGAATAATTATTTAATACGGCCGTCAGTAGACTTTTAAAGACATAATGTAGGCTATTGTTATTGCTTTCAGGAATGCAGAATACAGAAACTCGGAAACACTGCAAGGCTGACATAGGGTCAGCATGAAATTGTGAGGAAATATAACCTCTATAACTGTCAATTAGTCCGTCCATCCACTTGAAAGTGGTAAACAAACTAATGATGGACGCACACGCTCTAAGTAAAGGTTTAGAAGCTCGCGTACATTATTCTTAAATATAATCTCTACAGGTTGAAAGCCGAGATTATCAATAGTCGATCCATAGAAGCACATTTAATTTGGCGCAACTATTGATCGATTAAGATTGTGTCTCGAGAGATTTCCGCGGCGAGTCTCGCCACTTATTTCGCCACCTATGTAAAAATCGATAAGATTAAAGCAATTTTTGTACTTAGCACCTAAAATTTACATATATATATACACTTTTTTGGTCAGCCTACAGTTTTACTTATGTAAACGTCCGCCTACAGCTGTATACCTCTACATCGCCACAAAAATTGGAAAAAGAAAGTGCATGTCCTGTTGTAATGCCTGTTGAGCAGGTTTGAAAACGCCCACAACGGAGCAATGCCTAGCTAATAAAACGAAACTTTGCAGGTGTTTTCGATACTTCATACAATCTGTACAGAAAAATCACGTTGACCAACCTATTTAAGTGAAAAGATTTGATATTGGCATAAATAATGAAGTAGTAGGCATCAAAATTCCAAGTTCCTTACTCGGCGCATCTTTATTTTGCAGTCTTAAGATTCGACCTATGAGAATTTGAAATCTCATGTTGTTATTTAGCATAATTTAGATGAACTTTATGTATGCATATACATATATGCGTTTATGCATCTACATACTTAATATATACGTATATATACTCTTTATATACACATTTTGCGTATTATATATATGTTTGCACATATGGAATAATTTCATTTACATTGTATTCGGCTGGTCAAGGAATGCCAAATCTTTGCTTTGATCCACATATTCCTCCCCAATCAATAATCTGCGTGTACTGCTGTCATTCGAGAAACGTTGATGGTAACCAGCGCTGGTCCCAAGGTATTCAACTTTACTGGTTCGTATTTCTCGTTATTACTTCAATCGTTTGCATATTATGCAAACATACATATATAAATGTCATTTAAAGCGAGAGGTAAGGAAAAATTCAAGAAAATATATTATAAAAATTTGTAAGTCTTTCCACCTTAACTAAATTTTAGAGAAAATCAAAGCAATTTCACTGAAACCACTTTAGATACGTATACGTACGTGCATGCAAATATATATATAGAATACATATATATCTATATATATTATATATAATATATATATATATCTTATAAACTCACACTCATTCTAGATTATATGTAACAATAATTTGTAACAAATTGAGAAACTTGCAGGGCATGTCATGTCGATAAAATAAAATATCCGGAGGAAATCAGGCATAAATGTTGGATATGAGGGGAGATATGATGACAAAAGTTTCTACGATTAAATTGGGCTAATGGGTAAAGAGATATAACTTTACACAATCTCGGAAAGATCTTAAGTAATAACAACTTTATTCAGTTATCCCGTTATCCCGTTATCCCTTCATTTTATCAACAACAATAGACAAAGCTATGTCGTTGTGCAATATTTATAAGGCGTATTCTGAATAATCTTATCTGGTCAGTCGAGGAAGCTAAGGTGAAAGAGTTAGGCAATCCACTGGGTTAAGATTTCTCAACATTTCCACATCCTAGGTGACCACATGTGCGCAATTCAAAGCCAAGCCTAGTTCCATATATACGATATGTACCCAACTAACAATCAATCACCGGGAATAAGATGGTTAGGACTTCAGATGCGCTGCTACAAACTGAGGAAAGTTGATCACTTTTGAAGCATTAATGGCCAACGTCTCTGTCTGATGATTTACTTGAAACTATTTTCCATATTTTCAAATGCGACCAATTTCTATTCAATTCGTAACAACTATCGAAGCAATTCTTTCAGTTTCAATTATTCAATTTACAAGTAATAAAATATTAAATATATATATACATAAATATGTATACGTATATATATACGAAAAAAGTTGTTTCTATGTATTTCAATTCAACAAATCTTAACTTGCTATACCGTTCTATTAGTAATAATAAATGAAAATTTTTTGATGCAGATGATAAGCAGATAAATTTGGACTAAAAGAAATCAATGCATAAATTCCCGGAAAAGTTCGTTGCCTTTCGCCTTTTGCTGTTGTTTCCTTTTGCATGAAAATGGTACCGAATATCATATTAAACTCGTTTTGTACAACTGCAAGTAGGCGGTGTTCCCACTTTTGAGTACCCTTTTTGCGCCTATTGGGATAGACGGACGATCTATTTCTTTTGTTTCAATTTTCGTATCATAAGTTTCGCGTTCACTTTTGACGGCTTCTTATTTTGACTTTGTTTTGAGTTACTTTCAAACTTTTTGGTTCTCTTTATATTGATTTTAGATCGTGTTGAATTTTTCGTTGCTATCTTCAATCCCATATGGCTTCTTTCTCTTGTTTTGGATTTGATTTTTTTATTCGATTTACTAACCGCAGCTGGTTTCTTGAATGAAGCACTCTTCTGTAATATCGCACTGGTAAACGATGAGTTGAGTTTACTTTGACGAGATCTCTGTTTAACTAACTTATTATATCGTTTTTCCGGATTACCGAAGGCCTTTGCTGCCTCGACAATTGAGTCAAAATTGCCGAAGACTTCGATTATGCTTTTGTTTACATATTGTAAATACTGCAGAGACGAATGACACACATTGCAGTGATTGTTCGCATTATAATTTGAACGAATTAAGCTCTCAAGGTAAAGAAAGTTTTTTGCCATATTTTCACAATGCGGGCACTTGGAGTGCGCCGCCTTTAGGTTACGCGATGAATTTTGAATAGGTTGCTTTTCATATAGACCAACCTTATGACCGAAATTTACAACGGAATTTTGGGGAACAACGTATGGCGAATCAATTTCTTCTCCCAATCCAATCATTTTGCTTAAAACTGAAATTTTTTTGTTATTTTTCTCCAACATTTTTACGTTTTTTTAATTTTATTTTATTTATTTTAAAGAGCTTTTAAATATTTTACTAAAAATTTTTCAAATAGTTTTCAAAAAAGACAAAGTGAGAACTATTTCGAAGAATATCTGAACTTGTGCGTGAAACTAATTGACAGTGACAGTAAGTTCATACAGTAGTTATTTAATCAATCAATCAATCAATGTCGTTCAAGCAGGAAAGCATTACAAAAGGCATAATTTAAATTTCATCGCTCCATACATGATCATTGTTGTAAATATTCTTCGTTTTCAGGATACAAAGTTAATAAGCCAAAGCATAGTCTAGCCCCTAAAGGTACTTCAAAGTTAATTATGTATATTGTTCGTCAAACAAAAGACAAGCTTTCAAGTTCGTAGCGAACAATAATGAAAATAGGAAAAGGGTTTTCTTATTAATTTTTTTCTCTAACGAATAAAAATAACGAATGATTTTTCTCTCATCATTATTATCTCTAATTATTCAT